GGAAGAGGGATTTGGAGTGCTCATTTTGTAGACAACCCTCCTCTTCTAGCTGTGCATTCTTTTTAGTGGCTGCATGGGATGGTTTAGCTCATTGACCTGCCTGAAAACTGGTGATCTTTGATCTTTTTTTTGATACTTTGAAGGGCTACACAAATTCCAGCTTTCATGTAATGTAGAGGAAGTTCAGGAAAACATCTCTCTACTACCCTGCAGTCGCAGGGTAACTTCAACTGCCCATTCAAACACATCTCATAGACATTGTCATTTGTGTATCCAAGCCCATCCAGAAAGTCCAGCATGGCAGAGGGGCTTGAACCTAGTTTCTGGGTGAGCAACCCATATCTGTGGCCCTTTCTAGGTTCTCCGTTGCTGAAACTCCGTCATATCATGTCAGGACAGTGATGTCACCTACTTCTGCCAGTCCCTTGCTTACCTCTGGACCATTTCTTTGTGTTTAATCACCTCTAAATTTAAGGGGCAGCTTGATTACCCCAAAATGCTTCATCAGATGCCACTTAGTAGCACCATGCTACCAACATCATGGCTGGTAAAAACCCACCAGCTCTGATGTGTCATGCTCCCATCAAAAGAGGCTCTGGGAGGAAGAAGGCGTGTGTTTCCTTTAACCTACAACAAAGCAAAGCAGTTCAAAGAGCTGGAAAAGGAGGTTAACAATCTCTTTGAAATGTAGGTTCAAATTCCCAGCACAGCCCCATTCAATTATCAGCAAGTGCTGTGAAACTTCTGCTACTAACGAGGAAGAGGAGGGAAGGGAGATGTGGCACAGAGGTCCATACAGGCATCAGCAAGGGTTAAAGGACATCACCAGGGTGGTAGTGGGAAAGTCACCAGGATTTTTTCAGGCTGATTAACCCATCTGCGGTGCCCCCAGAGTAGAGGCCAGACCACTGGAATGAGTGGGGCTGGGCAGGGTGGCAGCACATTCCGCTGCCCAAACCCCTTGGCTCTGGCAGGGCTTTTCCGAGGGATGCCCAGCACCTGGCACAGCGGGCTGCTGATTTCTCCAGGGTGTTCCCCTGTGGCAGCAGGAACCGCTTTTATTTTAATCCCGTTAATGAAAGGCGGTGAGTGCAGGGGTGGGGATGGGGCAGGAGGGGGGTGGGTTTGTTTTGGCGGTGAGGATGGGTGCACACAGGCATACAAATGCTGAGAGACAAAGGCTGTGATTAAGGGCTGGTACTCCAACTCCCTGCTTATTACAGGAAAGGATTTATCTGATGGCCTAGTTTCAGCTCCAATTTTCCACCTTTTAATCAGCTTCCCAGGTCTCCTTGTCCACTCAAAGAGGAAAGGAAGAGGAAATCTCATGTTGGTGAAACAGGAATAATACTCCATAAACGTGCATGGGTCAGAGGGTTTTGCTGCCCCAAAACTTTCCTAGGAGGCAGATCCCAGGACAGGCAGAAGAATTATGCCCAGCCATGCAGCATTTTTTTTCTGGCATGGCAAGAGTGCATCTGTGCTTTCCTGCCTGACCAAACCAGGGTTGTGTGAAACAAACGTGCTGGAAATAAAAACCTTCTGCAAAATGGAAAATGTACAGAGGAGCAGCTATTTTTAAAATGGACAGCACCTACTGCTGTTATGAAGTCAGCCACATAATCAGTCAGCAAGGGACTTCTGTGGGCTGACAGCTGACTGCCAGGAGAAATGGTTCCAGCAGACTGATGAGAAGAAAATGAGAGTTTTTGGGTACTGAGAGGTGCATGTTCTCTAATAAAGAGAAGAATGTCTGTCCTGTGCTGCCCTGGGCATAAGGCAGATGGGGGAAGTGACCCTCACTGTCTTTCCCCTCGTGCTGGAAAGGAGGGATGAGATGCTGATAACTCTCCAGCAGACAGAACACCGCAAACAAATGCAAGCTCACTCACTTCTTCCTCCCTTACCCAGCCTAGCCTTAAGGCCGAGCCTCTGCTGAGGTTTTCCTGCTTCTAAAAATGTTGAGCCTGTAATTAAAACGCCCATCTTGCTTGCCAGGGCAAACATATCCGGCCACAGAGCTGAGCTGGTTGTGGAGACAGCCAAAGCTTGCAGCTAACCAACCTAGCCGGCCTTCCTGGCATGGATGACCTTCCTGGCATGGATGGCTTTCCTGGCATGGATGACCTTCCTGGCACGGGTGGCTTTCCTGGCATGGGTGGCTGTTGATGCCTGATGCCAGGTCCATCACACTGTGTTATCAAGCTGACAGGAAGCTTGAATGAGGGCCTCCTCAACTCATCCAAGCCTCGATGTGCCCTTCCTCCTCTGTGGGGACATCAGTGCTGTTTCAGTGCTGTTTCAGTACACTGCTGTGTACTGGTGCACAGGGGACGTACATGGGTGATGTGTGGGCTCGTGTTTCTGGTAGAGCCTTGCCTGTTTCTTCCCATTCAGAGGATTTTGGGAAGGCTATTTAAATAAGTAATAATCAAAACAATATTTTAATTAACAATAATCGAAATAATAAATTCAGTCTAATTAAATATTGAATAAAAAGTAGTTGCAAAATAAGATGTTAAGGCGAGGGGGCAAAGGAATATTGGGAGGGACAAGATCTAACACAGTGCTGGAGCAAAACGTATGTGGGGCATTCACAAGTAGGTGGGAGAATACAGCTTCTGACCCTTGGGTCCCCGGATATTGTCCTTCCCCAGGAGAAGAAGACATTCTCCACCTCTTTGACTGAGCCCACACCCCTGGGCAAAAGTGATTCCACCCCAAAGGGGTGTGGTGGTGTAGCCTCATGGTCATAACCTTGTGGTGGGTACCAGAGGAGCACTCATCTCTAATGACTGGTCGTGGTGGCTTTTCCCCTACAGTCCATGATAGTCCTATGAGCAAGATTTGGCCTTCCCTGGTGATCTCACACCCTAGGCTATCATCTGACTACCTTGTATGCCATCTGGGAGGATGGGGCATTTTGGGGAAACAGGTGAAGACCCAACAGCCTCTTCCAGGCTGCCTGCAAGTCTGTCTGCCTGGGTGGAAGATGCAGTTGTTCCTTCAGGCTTGGGAGGAACAGGAACATTGCAACTTCCTACAGGCAGTTTCCTCGGTGAGTCTCTGATTGCACCACTTCTACACAGAGCAACAAGAAGCCTTTAAAATTAAATTTTCTATTTAAGAGCAGGAAAACCACTCTGGAGAGGTTTCTGTTTATTCTTTAGGTGCAATGGCTCTGCATGGGCTTAGCCCTCTGTGCAGCAGCCCCAGCTCTGCAGAGGAGGGTGCTGAGACTGGATTACGTGTGTCTCACTGCCAGAAGCTCTGTGGTGTGGCAGTGTTCAGCTTTCTGTGCTGTGGCATCATTTCTCCATCCCTTTACTCCCTTCCACCCCCACAGAATCACAGAATCTTTAGGGATGGAAAAGACCTCTAAGATCATCAAGTCCAACGCTTAAACCAGCATTGCCAAGTCCAATAAAACCGTCTCCCTAAGAACCACACCTATATGTTCTTGAGCACTTCCATGGTCTTGTGGTGTGTCCCCACATCACCCTGCCTGCTGCAAATCCAGCCTTTCAACACTAGCAGACCATGTCCCAGATTGGCCAAATCCACAAAGAAATCTCCACCTGCTCCACGAGCTTTGGAGCAGGTCCTGGAGCAGGGAATTTGCACCACATGCTCTCTGCTGCTTCACGGCCATGTGTTCCTAATTTCCTTCAAGTCAACCAGAGAAGCACTCAAGTCTTTCCATCACTGAAAAGCACAGTAAGCCAAGCACCATGGGACAAATCCTACCCCCACTTTGGAGATGCAACACCCCTGAGGGCAGGGGGGATCAGCGGAGGAGGAGAGAAGCTGTGGTGCACTTCAGACCCGGTGACAGCTGCCACCCGCTCAGCATTAAAGCAATAAATCTGTGGGATCTGGGTTTATTCTCCTCCAAATCACTTTATTATATTGTGAGTAATCACAAAGCCTTACAATGCTGAAGAGGTTCTTTAAAAAAACAGACTAACACAGCGACAGTATTTGCCAGCTTTTGCTAAGACTAGTTTAGCCAGCAGCTAGCGTGAGATTACACAAGGAAATCTTGCAGTCTTCAATTGGATTGTCACATTGGGTTTTAAATTTACCACAGTGGTGCAAAGACAGTAACTTTGACAGTAGGTGATAACCATAATGTTTCATCTATGTACAGGCTTAAAAAAGTAAACAGCTTTCTTTAAAAAATAATACATTTTCTGCCAGCAGAAAATAATTCTCTTAAAAAGGCAAAATCCAGTAAAACCCCCACAACTTTCCTCACAAACTACTCCTGTCCTGCACTGCAGTTTGTTTCTGTTCCCCTCCAGGTCTCTGCCCACAGGCAGCCCCATTGCCTTTTTAAGAAAATCAGTGTTTCCTGTGATTGTGAAGGCTGGTCAAACATTGCAAAGGCTCAGTAGAGGGGAAAAATCCCCAAAACTGAAGGAAGGGGTGATAATCCCACCCTAAGCTACCCAAACAAATCACTGAAATTGAGATAGATGGAAATGTGGGAGTATTTCAGTACCAAATTTCAGTATCCAAAGTTAGGTGTTGACTCTGACTTTTATGGAGTCAGTGGGTTTGGGCAACGGTGTCCATTTTTCAAGACTTTTGGGGGTATGAGGACAAAACCTGAGCTTCTTCCAACACTCCCAAGGACAGTTTTGAGATGAGTTTATATCTGCATCACCTTTACATGGATCTCCCTAAATCAAACATTGAAAGTGGCCCTGATGCAGGGCTGGGTTTAGAGACCAAACTGCAGATCAGCTTGAGCATGACCCCCCTCCACAACATCCCATCCCCCTGGACAGAGCATGCCAGATGTGCACCAGACCTCAGCAGTCACCTCCACTGCTCCTAGAAGCAAATTGGAGGCTTCACACATGGCATTGAGTCATGTTGTGCTGCCTTCTCCCACTTCCTCCTAGACTGGAGAAAAAGAGGGGCCAGAGGGGTTCCCCTTTGCCAGCATTTCAGCAATGGAGGGGAAAAAATCAGCAAAACTTTGAGGACCAGGCTTTTTATCAGATTTCAGTTTATCAGATTCACAAGGCAACCAAGGAGCTGTGTGAGAGAAAGAAAAGCCACAACTCTAGAAAAAAACCCAAAGATCTTTTCTCCGATAAGCAAAGTGCTCCAGGGCCACAGGCACCAGTGTTAATTCTTCCTCTGGCACGTTCTCAGAAGTGTTTTGGCACTGCAAGTTGCCTCACATATGCCCAGATGAGCTGCAGATGTTGTGTTCAGATGGGGAATGTCAGCCTGGAAACAACTTACTCTCATATCCTCTGGGACTGCATCTTGGTTTGATAAGGTCATCAAGAAAGAATCCCTGTCAAAGTTTCCTTCCAAGCTTCCCCAGGAAGGGAAGAGGGATTCTTTTCAATTTTTATTTTTTTTTAATTTAGCTAAGCTACATGATGTCTTCCCTTTGCAACCTCCATCATCAAAGGCTGGTTCCTGGGTGAGATGTGGCTGTTAGCAGACCCCTCTGCTTCCCTTCCTCTGCTGCACGTCATCTCTGACCAATGGCTCATTGAGGTTAAAAAGACAAGAGGTTGCCAAAGCTGTACCTAAGTTAATTAGACATGAAAAGGATCAAGGTGGGAAAACAAGGAGAGATTGGTGGGAAAAAGTCTCGACTTACTCAATGTTCGTTGCACACCTATGCAAATAACATGTAAAATCCAGCACATTAGGTACACCCTGTATTCAGGTTTGTCTGGAAATATTTCTTCAAGACTGAAAGTGCATGACAGAAAACAGGGTGCTGCTAATGGAGGCAACATCCAGAAGGCACATTTTGGGGAGTAATAATTAAAAGAAGGATGATGCATGGGTTTGTAAGCCAGCAGCTACAGAGCTGGTACGTTTTGGTGTGTGCTCTGCAGAGGTGTAGCTTTGCTCCTACAAACGTGTCTGAGGCATGAAGGGTTTGCTCCAGACTGAGTGTTCTGCCCTGGGACCTGCAGAGCAACTTGTCCCCGCATCATCCAGCATCACCGCTCCTGAGCCAACGGCACGAGTGAGGACCTCAACGCGCCGGGTAAAATCCGGAGCCTGCAGGTATCGCGGACTGAGATCTGAGAGTTTATAAAATCCACAAACAATCAACTATTGGCAAATACAAATATATAAATTATTGACAGTTTTACAAAAGGCACACTGCAAGCCATCTCAGTCCGACACCTGTACAAGTCCCACGGCCCCCCACCCTCCCTGCCCCACCCCTTCTTCTCCCCAGCTTTCATCACAAAACATAAGGTGCTGCTGCTACGGATCCATGGCTGTCATGGCAACTGAGGATTTCTTTTTTGGTCAGCCCAATTTGTCGGTGGTACTGTCCTTCTTTGATGGTCTTAAGACACTGTATGTCCTTCCCTAAGGTGATGCTTTTGATGGAAGGCAGGTATTTCAGCAAAGTCTTTGGCAAGGATGATATACCTGTCCCAGAGAGGTTGAGCTCTTGTAGGGAGTTCAGACCAAAGATAACTTCAGCAGACAGTGACTTCAAGTTGGGATTGTTGGATAAATCCAGAACCTGGAGGGCTTGGAGTTCCTTGAAGCTCTGAGGAGATAACTCCCTAAAGCCATGCAGGCCACTGAGGGATAAATGGATCAAGTCTTTCAGCCCTGTGAAGTCTCCTTTCTCAAGCTTAACCAGAGGGTTTCCATCAAGATTTAAATATCGGAGAGGAATGCCTTGAAGGTTTGGTATAAATGTTAGCCTGTTTCCAGAGAGATTTAAATTCTGGATGTTGGGAATGCTCTTTTCATGGTGTCTTGTAATTGTGCTGAGCATATTATTGGACAGATCCACATTCAGGGATTTGCCTTGACCTTTTGAAGCAAAAATGTCCATAGCTATATCCAAAAGGTTGTTATTGCTTAGATCTATGTCACTTAGAGGAGAACTGGAGAAACAGTCCTCCGGAAGGACTTCCAGAGAGTTATGACTCAGATCCAAGGACTCCAGGTACCGAAGCCTGGAGAATGTGGTGGAGGAAATCTTGGCAATTTTGTTGTAGCTCAGGTCGAGACTCACCAGGGTGGTGTATCCAGGGCCAGTAAGCATCGATTCATTTATTGTTTCCAGATTGTTTGATGATAGATCCAAGTAGGAGGTGTCCAGAGGGATTGGTACAGGAACAATGTGTGAGCCTATTCCACTGCAGTCCACTTTGGTCAGGCTAAAGCTGTCAAAGAGACCAAAGGTTTCCACTTCACAGTGGCAGCCAGGGAAGCAGGTTTTTGTGGTACCAAAGCACGGAAGGAGAAGCAGCAAACTGAACCAGGCTAGGAAATGCATTGTTCTCCTGGAAAACAAGACAATAGAAAAGCAGATTTAATTGCTGTAGAAATTACTTTATGAAGGATGTGTAACTGTTTGACTTATGCAGTCTTGTCCTTTCTCTTTACAAAGGGAAAGATTAAGCATACCCTTAAACAGCATGGATCTTCCAAAAACTTTTTCTCTCATGTTATGAACCCCAGTGGGAACTCAATGGAGAAAAAAAAATTGGGTCAGCAGTCTTTACACACATAACCAAATTGAGGCAAAATTGGAAATGAGCTGTAAGAACAGTAGGCTGCCTTAAAGCATGATCTATCAAACATATATGCTTTTGACTGGACCATGGAAGAAAAGGCCAGCTCCTTACTGCACAAATAGACATCCCATCTCCCTTCCTTGGACTTCAGATGCAAATTTTAGAAGACTGGATTTGTATCAGGTGGCTAAAAACAACGCTCCTTGGCCTGGTGGCAGCTCCTCAGAGCAGAGGAACCGAGGCTTGTTCAGTCTAACCCAGCCTTTGCTGTGGTGGGCCCAGCCCCCTGCACAGTCGAGAGAGGAAATTTGCTTCATATAGAGTCTTTGGGGAGCCTCTGCTAATTGCATTAAGTATTCTTGCTGATTAGCAGGGCCAATTAGCAAGGAGTTCTCTCCACTGCTTTGGATTTGACCCATCTCCCTCCAAGACATTTCTGTCTTTCCATCATCTCACACAAGAGAGGCAGAGAGCTGATCTGCACGCTCCAGCTTTGCTGAACCTCTTCAGATGGCATCCTAACAACTCGCCCACACAACAGTGGGCAACAACAGCTGCATGATTTCAAGAGACAGCCAAAACAATCTTTAGCTCTGCATCTCTGGAGAGGGGGCATAGGAGCATGTCAGCATCCTGCAGGTTAGCACAGAGGCAACAAGGACTGTCCTTACTGGTTCCTATTGCAGTCATGGGTGATTACTCCCCATGCCTTACAAAGGAGGTCTCCAGAGGGCTGGAAACAAAAAAATCTCACCCAACCAGACAAGCAGATCCATCAGCACTAGTCCTTGGCTGTGCTGCTGGCCATAAACAGACACTCACATGCCAACTGCTCATTTAACAAGAAAAATGTAAAAGAAATCCCTTTAAATGAATGTTCCCATCCCCTCTTCAGCCTCCCTGGTCTCTTACGTTTCCCAACCCTGGCTTAAAAGCTTTTCATTAACTTTCTTGCAGTATCATGTTTCCCACACACCCTTTGATCTGGCTGAGATTCCTTCCTCACAGCCCTTGCACCTTTCCAAGACCATTTCCTAGAAATTCACACTTCATCTCCCCTCACCCACCTCTGGTATTCAATTTCTCTCCCTTTTCAGCATGGTCTTCTTGGCCCTGCTCTCATTTCCAGGAGATTGACTGGGGACTACTTGTCAAGGTGCAAAAAAAGCACAAAGGGGGAAAAATGTTGTAAAAATACTGTCCTGATCACTGATGTGACTTGTATGGCAGCGTCTCCCAGACCTCCTGCAAACAGAGAGCAGAGATTGGGGCTCTGGCCAAGTGGCCTGCAACTAAACTATTGCTAAAGGCCCCTCTGGGGTCCATTATTCTATAGAAACAACAGAAAATTGGTAAGATGAGCCCTAGCCTCAGTCCATCTCAACTGTTTCTTGAGAAAACACATATGTGTGCAGAGAGGACATAGGGGGTATGGCTCTTCTCTGCAGACACTTTTCCAGATATCCCTTTCCTAATGACATCAAGGCTGGCCCCCTCTGATTCTGTGCAGACAGACATAGCTTGCTGGCTTCTGCAGTCCCTCCTAAAATAAATATTACTATTTTTATTTTTTCATGAAGCTGCATTTGGATTGCACTGAAATGTTTTATTACCAGGGGGAGTTACAGTAATGGGGAGTTCCTTGTAAACGAAAACTGCAAAACCTCAACTGTTAAATATCTCACATACAGGGAAACACCTATATTGGTATCAGCCCAGTCTACTGGTATTTCTTCTCCCAAATTCTACCCAGTGGCTATTCCCACTTGATGTCTCTATATGGAAAGGACCTTCCAACTTCTCCTTCAAAAGTGCAGCTCAATTCCTCATAGAATTGTTTTAGCTCTGGTGGGAGCTGAATCATACAGCAGGAAGTCCAAAGACACATCAGTGTGAAATTTTACTTTCTGAGCACTGGTAAAACTTTCATTGGCTCCTTATGGAGCACCTGAACAAAAGTAGGAAGACAAGACCCAAAGCCCTAATTTAACTGGGAACAGACTTTTAATAGGGCCTGTAGTGGTAATGGACAAGGGGTAATGGTTTTAAACTAAAACAGGGGTGATTCAGACTAGATCTAAGGAAGAAGTTTTCTATGATGAAGGTGGTAAAACACTAGCATATGTTGCCCAGAGAGGTGGTAGATGCCCCATCCCTGGAAATATTCAAGTCCAGGTTGGATGGGGCTCTGAGCAATCTGGACTAGTTGAAGATATTCCTGATTTTTGTGGGGAGTTGGACTGAGTGGTCTTTAAAGGGTCTATTCCAATATAAGCTATGCTATGATTCTGTGAATGGAGAGAAGATTAAAAACCTATGCTGGGCTTTGATATGCACCTGCTCAAACCCTTTTGACATGGGAATTCCCCTCCTGATCAACCTCAAAAATGATTGCCAGATACAGTGACTCTCACTGCAACATCCATCACTTCAGCCAGCAGTAAAGACAAAACATGACACAGCTGAAATGCAGTCCCCAAAGCTCAGCTGAAGTATTTGCACAGCATCCATTGCCTCTTCCCTCCTCACAGCACTGCCACAAATTCTCTCTTACTGGCTCTGCAATTGCTTTGCAGATGGGATACAATCCATTAGTACCAGTTGGAAACTCCCTTATGGAGCAGCATGGAGCATCATAGGCAAACATGCCACTTGGTTAATAGCTCTGATAAAAGATAGGAGAAATAAGGTTACTGGTCATCTTCCAGTCCAAGAAAGAGACTCCTGCCTTGCCAAATAATTGGCAAAGAGCTTAGTCAGGTACAGGCATGTTTGATTATTGTGTGGAACAACCAATAGCTCTCTTTGAAATGGGGAAAGAAACAGACCGCAGGCACTTACATTTCTGTGTACAGTGTGCATTTGAAACTGCACCAAAACGCCTTTGGATTGCTGCCCACGAGCTGCTTTGTTAATAAAGGCAGGAAGCCAAGGTAAAAGGAAGAGGAGTTATCCTCTTGCAGTACTGGGGAGTTTCACCTAGGTAAACACCATGGACAAGAAACCACTGGCACCATCACCTAGGACAGTGAGGGAAAAGTCACTGGGAGAAAGCAGCCCACCCTGGGGCTGGTTTAGCCATGTCCACTCCATTTCTTTGGCTATTAAGGTACGGAGAGATCCCAGTGATACATTTTGGCCATCTGGAAGCTCTAGGGGTTTTTTATACCCACTGATTGCAATAGGAGCTGCTGGGGTGCAATATCTTCCCCCACGTTTCAGGTACCTGTAGTGACTGCAGGGCTCTGGTCTTTATATCTTGCTCATCTTTTCTGCAGGGCAAATATTCTGAGACAATCCTAAGGAGAGCCTGTGGTGGTTAATGGAGCCAGTGTTGGACCAAGCTCCTAGCAGGATGCCAGCCTTTTCCTCAGATCCCACATCTCTCGTTTAGCCTGCGGATGCCGTTATGCCTTCTCCCTGCTACGCTCATCCATTGCCATGCCCTGTGGCGGGACTCACACAGAAAACTCACACTGAGATTTCCCAGCCAAAAAGCCCCCAACATTAGAAGCAGATTGCAGAGGAATGCCAGGCCTCAGAAGATGGTCAGGGAGTGAGGTGGGAGAGAGGAAAGCTTTGTTACTGTGTTGTTGCAAATTCACACTGCATTTGATTTCTTCCTTCTCCTCTCCCTTAAAGACTTTTCTCATTAGGGAGATCAGCTGGCACATCCCTCCCTGGATGAAAGCCCATTGCCTGGGGACTGGTCCCCCTCTTTGGGAATGTGGATATTAAGAGGATGCTACCTAGGCTACCTCCAGTTGCCCTGGCAACCACCAAGCTGGAATTCCCCATAGCAAAAAATCAATGACTAATTAAAGAAATAATACAAGGGGAGGTGTTTTAAAGTTTGCTGTTTGATGGAGTCAGGGAACATCTGCCCCATTCTTCATTCTTCATTCCCTCAGCCTCTTTCAACATGCTTCCCACCCCATTCTTGGCTGCACCTTCCAGACCCTAGTCCCTCCCATTAACCAGGTGCACTTGGATAAACCAGTTTGGATCACTGATCCAACAAAAAACCCTCTGATCTTTCTCTTTCCCTTTGCTGGGTCAGTTTTCCAACAAATTCTGGTGACCATCCATAGGGTTACCAACTGTCACACAGGAGTGGAGAAAACAGAATCTGTCTTTTCCATAGCCCACAACTAGACCAGATCAGATACGACATGATTCTGTAAGGCATGGTGGACAGATCCTGATAATTTCTATATTTCTTGCCAATATTAATTCTGGATTAGCAGCACATAGACAAAATTTCAAGGAAAAAAGGCAAAAAGGAAGAGCTGAAGTCCACCTGTCCCAAACAGAGTTGTAGTCCTAGCAAAGGACAAAAGAGTTATATTAGCAACAACGTTTCAGGAGGAAAATTTTGGGATTGTCTTCTGCCTCTTGTATCAGTCAAGTAAAGAAATAAACAAAGTCTTCGTAGCAAAGCTCACCAGGCCCACTTGGCTGCCAGCACTAATTGGGGTCAGGGGAAAAGGAACGTTATTGGAAAGTGAAACAAGTGCATAGGTTATGACAGAGGCCATAAATCCTCCAGACTGAAGGAAAAAAAAAAAAAAAACAGTTGGCTCTGGCTCTTTCTCTTTTTAAATATCTTAGAGGCTGATATCAGTGGCAGCTGGGACTGCAGCTCCAGAGAGCCAGAATGCTCCAGAGTTGCTTCTCGACAACAAAATTGCATAAGAGACCTTTCCCCCCCTTCTCCACCCATTAATTATTCTGTAAAATTAGAATAATTACGGACTAAAGTGCAG